GCATCTCTGGCCTACACCCCAGCTCTTGTGTGCATAAATAAATAAAATAAATCTTTTAAAAAAAGTATACACAAATGACTTTGATAAAAGTAATTTCAAACTATAGAAGAGAAAGGGAAAGGAAAGTGTCCAAAAAATATTTGTTTCTTTGCAGTTATCACCCTTCAATTGTTTGGACTTTGGATATCTAAAATTTTAGTGAAGCTAATTCTAAAACTCATTCTAGGACCAGAAAACATGAAATCTTTTTTTTTAACCCAAATTCTCCTCTAAGATGTCCTATGGTTGCCAAATTTAGGCAAGCTTTTTTGTTTTTATGCCACCAATGTGTAAAACCAGGTTTCTTAGGTATTCAGAGAATAAGCTTTTCAAGATATTCCACTGCATAAATATAATGTTTCATTCTGCTTCCCAAACCCTACTTTTCATTGCACATATTATCTTTTGCCTGAAATATTTTGTTAAACAACAAGGCTTAGAGAGAGAAGTACTAGGAGTATCTTCCCTACCTTTGTAATATGATCATTGGAAACTCAGAAATTATTAAAAAATGGCATGAATATTTGCATGTGGATTTTGACCTCTAGAATCTAGAAGAGTTTTTCATCTTGAAAGTAGAACACAAATCTGCAATATATATTTTTAAAATTTCAGAATTCCAATAATGTAATACATTTCTTCTGCAATTCATGGGGACTCCTTTTGTTCTATATCCTACCACCACATGGCCAATGTTGAGATATACAACCCAGATGTCATTCCTTTCATCCTCTATATCCTGTGATTTGCGCCATAGTTGAGATGGTCTTCATCATGATACAGTACTTGTGACTTTCACTATTTTCACACTATTCCTGTGCAAAAGAAAATGTAGCAAAGAAAATTATAGGGAAATGCAGATTTTTACATGTGTTGATGGATGCTGTGGAAGTTAAGACTTTAAGACTATAACTGAACATGTGTCTCTTGTTTCTGTTATAAGTCCAATGGTTTAATCCAACACTGGTTCAGAGACATGTGTTCTGGCATCAGAAAGATTTTAAAGCAAGCAATTACAGATTTACAATAAAGGTACAAATGGAAACTGGACCATTAGACCTTAATTTTTTTAGTTACAAAGTATGGGAAATGACCTCACTCCCTCTGTCTTTCTCAGCCTCTCTTCAAGTCTCTTTTCCCTCCATTTATGCCTTTAATATCTGTGTTCTCAGCACTGTGTTCTACAGTCTTTGCCTTGACCATGTCTGCATACACTCCTTGAGTAACTTAGACTAAATCAATGACTTTAACACAATATTGTTTCCATCCTGACAATCCTTGCCTTTTAATGGCATATGTCAACCATTTACATTTGATTAGTCACATGTTTAGAATTCTTGCCCTTGGTTTTTGTGACCATTGTCCTAGATCGTATTGTTTAAGGGACAACCTTTGGGAGTAACATTTTCTGATCCGGTAAGTTAAGTTTCTCCAGTGAGTGGTAAAATTAACCAGATGGGAGACATTGTTGAAAAAGTTATGTAGATAACACCAACATAGAAAAATAAAGGTTTCTTCTATTAAAATTTTACAGAAAATCTAGTTGATCGATAAAGACAGAAGATGAGGTGCTACAATTCCTACAAAATCGTGATGTTAGTCAGACCTAGGTTTGAAGCTTGCTTCTTCTGAACCTTAAAACTCTAAATTCCCCAATTTTTCTAAACTTCAGTCTCTTCATCTGTAAAGGAAACTTGTGCTGATTAAGTGAGATAACTAACAGCATACACATACATATGCTCCGTGTATGTATATATACATAACAATGTGTATGTGTGTATACATATGTATGTATATAAAACTCCCCTCAGATAGGGAATGGGCTTTTGGAATACGCATATTTCCACTTGAAATCATGGCATGCTTAGAACAGAGTATGAAAAGTGTTAACTCCCCCCCTCCTCCCATACCACACACTCCTCCTAATCCCCAAAAATTGAAGCAGTAAGAAGAATTAGTGCAAAACGATGCTTAAAGGTGAAAGAAGGTATCTCATCTTTTTCAACTCAGAATAGCACTTTTGCTGTTTCCCTTCAGCTTTTCAGAGAGTCCAGATCTATAAATTGAACTCTTGTGAATATCAGCAGCTCTGCAATTGCTATGTTGCTGGTTGCTCTAAAACACAATTGAAAAAAAATCCACCTTTAGGACCTCTCTGGTGGCGCAAGGGGTTAAACCCCATACTATGATGCTATCCGAAGCCTCTGCAGCACGAGTTCAATCCCTGGCTGGCCGGGGAGCAACCCACATGGCGCAGCAGACCTCTCCTGACTTGCCCGCTGCCCCCTTCGGCAGTGTACTTCAGTCGGTCTGCCTGTCCTGCTCCCCACTTTGTCTCTGGTGGATCCTCTCACCCCCCGCATCTCTGGTGTGTACCCCAGCTCTTGTATGTATAAACAAATCTTTAAAAAAAATCTACCTCCTGGGGCCTCCCCGGTGGCGCAGTGGTTGAGCGCTGGGTTGCGAAGCTGCCGGCGACCTCTGCGGCGCCGGTTCGATCCCCGGCTGCTCCCCGGCCACCTGAGGAGGGTCCCACATGGTGCGCAGACCTGTCCTGCCGCCCGCTGCTCCCCTCAGCAGTGTGCTTCGGTCTTTCTGCCTGCTCTGCTCCCCGCTCTGGCTCTGGTGAATTCTCTCACCCTCCTGCGCTTCTGACTGTACCCAGTGCATGTATAAACAAAACAAACAAACAAACAAATAAATAAATAAAACATGCCTCTATTAAAAAAAAAAATCTATCTCCAAAGTGAGTTCTTGGATACATTGAGAGGGTCTGTACCAATAATTATTAGGTATCTGTGGACTGTCATCCATTATTAGCAATGTTCTGGTGGGTGACGGACAGAATGCAGACAGAGGCCTCACAGGCTATGCCAGATGGTGCAGGTGTCTAGACTACACCGTCTAGATTTGTGTCATTTTCCTTTTTGACGTTCACACATTGACAATATCACTCAACAACGTATTTCTCAGCGTGTATCCCTATTGTTAAGCAACACATTTTACAAGTGTGTCTTTAGGAAAGGTCAGGAATGAAACACTGGGCACTTTAGAAACATTTTAGAAATATGACTAGTTGAATGAGAATAGAAGCTTTTCCCATAGAACACTGTAGAAGAAGCAGTGCCTCTGTTGGCTCATTTTCTATGTGCATCTCTTCATGCCCTTTGCACAGTTTCTGAGAACTCAGCCCTCCTGGCACCTCAGGTTGGCCAGATGTTTGTTTTTCTTCTTACCCTTCTTTTTACTACTCTTAACCTCATCTGTCTTTCTCAAGGAGTTTTTATTTAAAAACTCTTCTTTCTCTGTCCTCTTTACTCGAAATGTACTTTTATGTAGCTTCTTACTGTTTAGACAAAAAAGGCTTGGGGAGAACGATTCATTAAAGATATCAATGGTTAATTAATGGTCTTTATATTACCCTGACTAAGGGGAATTTTCTATTAAACCTGGAGGAATCGAAGATTGGGAAATACCTGAATTTAAGAAATGAATATTTATAACGTAGACTTTTAAGCTCCATGTTTGTGCATGAGGGGTGTTAGTCACAGATTCATTTCTGGAACCCCTCAAATCACACGAGGGAGCAGCCACCTTCACTCCTCATGTGACATTTCAGACACTGCAATGGTGACAACCTTGAAAATCCATACATGGCCAGAAGTGACTTACACATTTTTCTTTGCCATTCCACCTGAACTTAAGTAGGCAAGAAGTGGCAGGGGAAAGCAGGGTCAAGAGGGAGTGGGGAGAAGGGGGATGAGGGACAGAGAACTTGATTAAGACTCCTCAGTTGGGGTTAAAGGGGTAAGTCTCAGCGCTATCACCACATTGAGTCCAATCCCTGGCCAGGAAACTAACCCACATGGTGCAGCAGACCTCTCCTGTCTCACCCACTGCCCCCCTCAGCAGTGTATTTCAGTCGATCTGCCTGTTCTGCTCCCCTCTCTGTCTCTGGAGAATCCTCTCACCTACTGCACCTCTGACCTACACCCCAGTTCTTCTATACACACACACACACACACACACACACAAAGACTCCTGCATTACTTATTTAAAATTAAACTTAAATGTTTTCACTGATGGCTTTTAAGACAAAACATATAAAATTGTGAAATGTGTTAAGAGTAGACTCCAAATCGGTAGCTCAATACCTTCTCCTCATACTACTCTCTTTTTTAAAAAGATTTATTTTTATTTATTTATGCATACAAGAACTGGGGTGTAGTCCAGAGGTGTGGGGGTGAGAGGATCACCAGAGACAGAGTGGGGAGCAGAACAGACGGATCTACTGAAATATACTGCTGAGGGGAACAGTGGGTAAGACAGCAGAGGTCTGCTGTGCATTGTGGGTCACCTCCCTGGCAGGGAATGGAACTCATGCCTCAGTGGCTGGTGATAGCTTCATAGCTCTGAGACTTTAACCCCTGTACCACCAGGGAAGCCCCTCCCTACTACTCTTAAGTTAAATAAAGAATTAATCTTAAATCTTAGAAGGCACTTTTTAGAGCATAAATAGGCTTGACTCATTTTTACAAAGTAACGTTCCAGACAGAAGTTATTTAAATGACTATATTTTTGAAGGATCCCAAGGTCCTCATTTCCTCAGGATTTCTGGGAGGCACAGTAGCTCTGATTTATAGAGGAACATAAACTGAAGCCTGAAGACGTGGGAGACCAGTTCTGGTTTATACAATGAGTTCCCAAGTGGGGAAGAGGGACTTTTGCCTTGGTGCTAAAATGAGAGCACTCTCCCATCCCTCAGCTGTAGAACACCTCTGCTGGCCAAGGGTGGGGTAGGAGCGGGTGTGAGGTCGCAGTCAGCCTTCTGGATGATGATGCCTCGAGTTCGTTGAGCTCGGTCAGAGAGGATATATAAGTCATGGTAATGCTTTGATTTATGTCAGTATGTGGCTTACGCTCTGTTAGTCCAGCTGCTTTCTCCCCTGTTCCTCTAACAGGCAGCCTCATTGCTGGAGATGACTGTCAGCTGCTTTCCCTGCGTAGCCACCATCACATGCCTCACCACCGGAGCCTGGGAAGCCTGACTACCAGCCAGCCTCTCCGAGGCATGAATAATTAGGTAGGCATAATGGAAGGCACTCACTGCACCCTCCAATTGCAGAAGCCCATTACAGAACTCTGCTACATCAGCTTCTATCTTCCAAGGGGGGACATCAGAGGATTTTCATACAAGGGCACTGTAACTCTAGACAAATCCAATAGGGGTTTTCATAACTGCTACCAAGTCAGGGAGGGGTCAGACTTCATCAGCCTCAGCCTGCAGCCGAACGAATATCCAGGAGACATATTTTTCAAGCAAACTCCCACGAAAGACATTCTCGCTGAGCTCTACAAACTCACGGCAGAGAGGGAGCGACTGCTGGCCGATCTGCTGAGCTCAGAGCACATCCTGGGGATTACGATGGGGAACCAAGAGGGGAAGCTGCCGGAGCTGTCTGTGAGCATGGCTCCCGAGGACGACTCTTTCCAGAATGCTGGCGACTGGCACGGGGAGACCCCGGTGGGTTGTCTCAATAAGAGAAGGGTCCATGGGAACAAAAAGCCCCGGAGGTCTGGTGGAAGGAGAGAGAGCTTCGAGGACCTTCCCCAGAAGAGGGCAAGAAGGAAAGGGCGTGGGGGCCAGGAAGCTGCTCCTCAGACAGGCAAGGACCCCATCTATTCCAGTGACTCTCTCCCTCATTCTAGAGCTAGGCCTAACCTTCGCCTCCTAGAAGAGAAGGGCACCTTGCTACCAAATGAGGCAAGTACTTCTCCCCTCCCGAGGAGAGAGACTGCCTCCCCAGAAAGCTCCAGGACACTGGACTCTGACTCTGGCTTTGGGAACTTTGGCACGGCTTTGGAGAAAACCAGCCTTGGAAGAAGAGGGCTGTCCTCTGACTGCAGCTCTGAGGAGTCAGGAGCTGGAGGTGCTGGGGATCTGCAGAGGGGGCCTCGCAGGCTGCTGCCTCAGCAAACTGGTTTATCTGAAAGTCGCAAGGACCCGGAGAAGCACCCGGAGGCAGAAAAGGGCCGGAAGGGGAAGGCCACTCAGCGGACTTGCAGGAAGAAGCCTGTTTCCAAAGTGGTGGCCAGAGTCCAGGATCTGTCCACTCAGGTGCAAAGAGTAGTTAAGACACATCCCAAGGGTGAGGGAAGGATTTCTGTTGGCCCCGGGACCCAGGCTGAGTTTATCCCCAGAGCAGAACTGTTCACCCTCCCAAGAGCCGAGGCTGGAGCCCCTGGTTCCAAGCAGCAGGACAAGAAGCAGCAAGGGGACAGGCCATCACAGGGGTCGGCCAGGGAGCATGCGCTGGCCAGCACCCAGGGGGCTGTGAACAAGGTCCTCCGGAAGGTTATAGAAAGCGAGAAGTTAGATGAAGCCACTGAGGGGAAAAGATTGGGCTTCCCTATCAAAACAGCAGCCACACACCCCCTCCCGGACACCAGGAGCAAGAAAAGAGCAGGGCTGCCTGTCAGTGGCCACAAAACTTTGTTTCTGCATCTGCCCCACGGTGTAGGCCCTGATTCCTCACAACCCAGAGGTTATGAGGAGAAGCTGTCCCCCCCAGCACTGGCAGCTCTCGGCCTGGTATTTAATAATTCATCCTCTCAGCCCACAAACAAACGGGTGTCACCTGTTCCCTCGCCTTCCTCTCCAAAGCTTCCTGGCCCTCAGCAACACCACAGGATCCTCCGGGTCCCTCCCTTGCCTGGCGAGAGGGAAGCCATTCTTGATGACTCTGCTGGTAGAAAGAGTGCTACCTCCTTTGCGCACCCCCCTGCTGACACCTTGGAGTCATCCTCAGCAAAGGTCACGGAGACCAAAGGAGCCAGCGCGGCCTCTCTCAGAGCAGGCCAACCACGGCTGGTGCCCGGGGAACTTTTGGGAAAGAGCTTGGGGCCCGGGAAGACCACAGCTTGGCTGCAGCCCCGGTCACCTCCAGGTTAGTCTGGTTCAAAATGCTTTTCATCTGTTCCCAGGTGATTCAGAAACTTGTGCTATTCAAGGACTGGTTAATGAACAATTAACCAACATTTCTTAGGCCTGGTAGTCAATTGACCTTATAGCAAGAAAATCAGGAGAGGGTGAAGATGGATGAGGATGGTGTTGACTTACACATCAGAGGTGCTGTTGCTTCCAGAAGCAACAGCTTGTAAATGTCTTTATTTTATTATTATTGTTTAACTTGGGAATATTTTACAGCTGTCTTCATGGTTGCTTAGCACATGACCCTCCCAGGTAACAGTGCCAGCAAAGTAGCAACTCGTTGCTGTTTTTATGCTAATACTGGGGAATTGGCCCTTTGACTTCCATGCTGCTGGGGTGCTTGGGTTTGCAGAAATTCATGAAGCTCTTGTGTTTTTGTTTTTTTAGTAATCACCTTTATAAGTGTTATTATTTTATGACAAAAACTTTTGTTTGACCAGAAGAAGGATGAATTCAGTCCATTTTGAAAATACTTGGTTCAGATTTTCTTTTTTGCTCTGTTTTTAAAAAAATTTCTCAAACAAGTATGAAGTAATTTTATTCTGAGGTTCTGTTCTATTTATGGGTTACTACTGTTACTGGCATAACATCATTTCTTACGCAAAAGGTGCCAAAGAGCTCATCTGGCTGCGACTAATGTAATTTAAAATCGTACATGAAAATAACTTGGGAGACATTGTAAGTGGGTTCACTAAGACCGCAAAAGACAGTGTGTGAGCAGTGCCACTCCTGTACCTGTGGCATTTTCCAGGCCAGTGTCACCAGAGGCTCCGGGGCTTGTCTGTCATTGTGTAGTGGCTTCTTTTTCAGCCCTTTCATAGCATATGGTCAATGCTTTGTCTAGCGATGAACTCGTAACATAACATGGTCTCTTAAAGGGAGAGGTACAGCACCTGAAACTTTTAAGACAAAAATACACACATAGAAAAGAAGGATTTCAAATGCTTTCTGGATACTTTCAACCCTTGACATTTTGTAAGTTTCTCTAAATCACGGGTGCAGGGGTGGGTTTTTTAAAATGTGGTGAATGCTTTTCATCGTGTTTGAAATATGTTGGTGTTAGTTTGATAATACGTGTTGTTTTTATAATACAACCATTCCTCTTTGCCTGGAAAGTCATAGAATTGTAGATTTAACATCATTTTTCATAGAGCTCTGGTGACGAAGGATGCTGGAGCCTTCAAAATAGTTAGAAAGGAGGCTTTCTGCAAATATCAGATGAGAGACTTCTGGAGGCATGGTGATGGAGTGGCTGCTGAGACTCTGAAGGGTCTTTTTAGAAATCACACCAAATTCTAGGATTGTGTGTGCCCCTCAACCAAAATTGCATTAAATGCTCTAAGCTTCAGTAAATCCTTTTATCCCCTGATTTGGAATTATCTTTTTATTTTATTTTCCTTTTTCTCTAATGTAATAAAGATATTATAAAAGCCCCATTATAGCTGAGTCAAGACAGGCACACAGAGAACAGTCAGTTTCTGTGGTAACTGACCATGAGCCCCCTGAATGGCAAGTTCAACTGGGGGTCTTACTTCCCCTGGCTGCTCCACACACTTGCTCACAATTGTTCCTTTACTTTAGTCCCTTGGGAATCTTCATAGCACTTTCAGGAACCAGTCATTAGTATCACAGGGATTCCCTTATAAGAGACCACTTGTGTCTCTAACCATGTGAAAGTGGTTGGAAAGGGGAAGGTGAATATGAATGTGGAGTGACCCCCTTTTTTTCTGGCATGGTTAGCTTCTTTTTTGCTGGGACACTCCCCTAGGACAGCTCCCTCTCCCCCCCAGGACCCCCAAACATCATCATTTGTCATCCCGCCTTTCTTTGAATAGCATGAAAAGCGGGACTTTCCTGCATAGTGCAATTGATCGGTAGCATGTACTCTTGTCCCTTTTTCCCTTTAATTCCCCTTTTCTGTGGCCGTAAGTCCTCTTTATAGTCTGGATCCTTCACTGGCTTCCTGTAACCAGTGGGCCAGTACTGGGAGAATTTTTCTGCTTCCAGGTGCCTTGTTTTCCACTTATTTCTCCTTCCAGCTCATCCCAGCAGAAGTCTCGAGACAGTCTCCAGCAGCCCAGATGCCAGATGCATAATCCATTTACCCTCACCAAACAGTGAAACTATATCCAACTCCCACCTTTTTCCCATGTTAGCTATTAACCAGGTTGAGTTTATGGTCTGTGAACACTGATTTCCTGTGGAAATAGCATCTAGGTATTTTATTGAAGTAATGTGATTAAGATTATTGAAAGGTCTCATTAACTACTCAAGTAAGAGATTAAGTCTGGCAAAAGTAATCAGATCTATTTCCAGTTGGAAAACTCTTTAGTATTATAGGCAAAAGTAGTAATTCCCAGGAAAGAGTGAAATCCACTTCTCCCAGGCTCAAGGAGTTCAAGCCAAAATTACTATTCACACAGGAAATAGCATATCGATATTATAGAGACTCTAGGTCCACCTCTTATTGTCTTTGTAATTGTCCTAATTCTTCATTACTAGCAATTTCTTGTCTGGTGGTAATGTGATCATAGAGAATATGCTAACAGTGAATGGTGGCCAGATTTGGCCTCTCAAGGTATCTCCCTCTCCCCCACCTTGGTAATGATTTATTTCGTAAAAATAAATCACTGCATTTTGTAAATAGTTCTTTATTTTGCTGATGGAAAGTGCTGTAGAAGTCCCCAGGCCTTGTGGAATGTGCTGTTTCCTCAAACCTTGAGGGGCTCTAGCTTTGTTAGCCTGCAGAGCAGTGTCCTCCAAGCTAGGGGCTGAGATTCTTATCCATTTTGTTTGCTTATTTGAACCTTTGATCTATCTGTAATAGACTTTTTTGATATCAGAAGAATCACAAGGACCTTGGCTCACTATACTCAAGAAAGTGCCTTTTGCTTCATGTGCCCCCTGAGTAATCTCATGATCTTTTTCCCTTTGATTGAAGTCACTGAGCAGTGATGGAAGCATGCGCCCCAGGCATGGTTCTTCTTGGTGTTACGAATCATTTGATCATTTCCGTGCCCATCAAAGGATGTAGTTATTGTCAACTGATTAAAAGCTTAGAGATGCACTTGTGACAGGTTTTATTATGTCTAATGTTATGGACATATATTATGGGAAGTAGATGTAAATTCTTCCCATGTTAGTATTGAGGTTTGATACACTTCCAATCAAATTTTAGAGAAGCGTCACTGCGTTAATGGGTATACACAGCCATTTAAGATTAATAGAGCGGGCATGAAGCACATAGAAAATTAACTTTAATTAATGTTAAAGAAAATAAGGTTCAAACGTTGCATGTATCATAGTATATCCATATAAAAAATGCAGGAATTAAATTATCAGGAAGTGGGTTGCTATATTCTTTTGAGAAAGAGACTCATAACTGGAACTACGTAACGTTGTTTAACAGACATGCTGTTAGGAATTTAACTTGTATAAACAGGTGCACTGGTGACAGTGTGTGCATAAGGTTGTTTACTGTAGTGTTGTTGGTAGTGACAAAAACAGCTGGAAAACATTTGAAAGTCTATCAGTAGAGAAATGGATAATAAATTGTACTTTATTTATACTTTGTAATATTATGGAGTTAATCAAAGTGATGAACTAAATCTTTACTACTAAGTTGCAGAGTTTTATAGCACATGCTCTCAGTGTTTATAAAAACAGTTATCATCCTTCTTTCTATATGGGTATATATGTTTGATTTGACTTTAAATATCATGGAGACAGGTATAGAAAGAGACTAGCCATTATGTTCACATTCTTCATCTAAGGTGAATGGGGAGATGAGGTGAAGGGGAAGGAACCAGAAGCTTTTGGGAAGACCATTAACTTATTTACATATTTCTACAATGGTTCATGGGTTGTGCTGAATGTGTCACCTGCATGATTTTTAGAGAGCTTGACTGCTTTTTAAAGAAGAAAAGAAATTCAGAGAGAGAGAAAGAGGTTAGGGGAGGAGAGAGAGAGAGTGAGAGAGAGAGAATGCATACATTTGACTTATGGATAAACTACAATTACTGTATTTTCTGCATGTCCTTTAATAAGACACAAAACTCAGCATGAGAATGTAGTTTTGCTGCAAAGAGAAAGGCAGAACTGTGAAAGCCATGCCTGAGAAGAACCAGTCATGCAGGAAGGACAGAGCATAATCCAGAAACCAAAAGAAGAAGGCAATTAGAACGGCTTCTGGATTAGACAGGATACTCTAGGAAACAGATCCCTGGGCCTGAGGGAACATGGGCAGCACTGGTCCCTGGAATACAGATGGGAACTTAACAAGAGACCATGTGACAAAAACAGTTGACCTGTGGTAGAGGCAACCCACAGACAAAGAGGCTGTGGGAAAAAATATCCTGACCTCAATTTTCTTTGATCTTCTGCCTGGAAACCTCCTGTAACTGAACGGGTCAACCTCCAACCAATTGAACTAACAAGGCAGAGTATAAAGGGAGCTGGTGGATGTGATCTACAAGGTCAGCCTTCCAGGCCCAAGAGTGGGGCCAAGAATGGATCTGGAGGGGCTGGTGGGAGTTAAGATGATGCTGATAAGTTGAGCCACAAAAACCAAGAAATGTCAAGAGATGGAATAGTATTTTAAGTGAGCAACAGGTTAAAGAAGAATGTGTGTGTGGTGCATGTTTTGTTACCGAGCAGTGGTTACCTTGGTAATAAGTAATTATTGTAGAGCTTTGTTTCTTTGTTTATGAACTTTCTTCTTCTGAATTTGATTTGATTGACTGTCTCTTTTATTCTTTAAAGTTCAAACACTGAGGAAGTGAAAGAATAAGATCTTGTGATGCAGAATTCAGAAAAAATTTACTTGGTTTTGATAAACAAAGCTCTTGTATTTAACAATGATTGATCTCACTTTGTACTTGTTTGACTTTTGTGCAAAGCCCAAAAAAGAATTTTTAAATATCTTCCCCAATTATCTCAAGCTAAGAATAGCTAACT